GGATCTTCATCAAAGGTGACTGCGATGTCATTGGAACCAAGTTCTGGTGTATCCTTGTCAAACTGAGCCAGTGGCTGATCTGGTGATGGGGATTCGAATTTAGCGATGGCTGTTGGCTCATCTGCGTCTGGTGTGATGTCATTTGCCAATGAAGGTGTCACTTCTGCAGAAAGGATCTCTTGTTGATGCTGGGAGACGGCGGTCTCCGATTCCACTGAAGATGGGGATTCTGTTCAAGAAATGAGGATTGATAAGAGAAAAAACCAACTTTTGTCACTTAGAAAGCAATTCAAGGCAATAAAGAGTTCTCTGAAAGCTTCTAGTTAAACATACCAGCAGAATCTTCATGAAACGTGACTGCGATGTCATTGGAACCAAGTTCTGGTGTATCCTTGTCAAACTGAGCCAGTGGCTGATCTGGTGATGGGGATTCGAATTTAGCGATGGCTGTTGGCTCATCTGCGTCTGGTGTGATGTCATTTGCCAATGAAGATGTCACTTCTGCAGAAAGGATCTCTTGTTGATGCTGGGAGACGGCGGTCTCCGATTCCACTGAAGATGGGGATTCTGTTTAAAAAATGAGGATAGATTAGAGAAGAAACCAACTTTTGTCACTTAGAATACGTTTTAAACTTTTAATGCAAAGTATTTTTAAGCAGGCAAGGGTTGGTTTAATATAATACACAAACATACCAGTAGGAACTTCATCAAAGGTGACTGCGATGTCATTGGAACCAAGTTCTGGTGTATCCTTGTCAAACTGAGCCAGTCGCTGATCTGGTGATGGGGATTCGAATTCAGCGATGGCTGTTGGCTCATCTGCGTCTGGTGTGATGTCATTTGCCAATGAAGATGTCACTTCTGCAGAAAGGATCTCTTGTTGATGCTGGGAGACGGCGGTCTCCGATTCCACTGAAGATGGGGATTCTGTTCAAGAAATGTGGATGAATTAGAGAAGAAACCAACTTTTGTCACTTAGAAAGCAATTCAAGGCAATAAAGAGTTTCCTGAAATCTTGTAGTTAAACATACCAGTAGGATCTTCATCAAAGGTGACTGCGATGTCATTGGAACCAAGTTCTGGTGTATCCTTGTCAAACTGAGCCAGTCGCTGATCTGGTGATGGGGATTCGAATTCAGCGATGGCTGTTGGCTCATCTGCGTCTGGTGTGATGTCATTTGCCAATGAAGATGTCACTTCTGCAGAAAGGATCTCTTGTTGATGCTGGGAGACGGCGGTCTCCGATTCCACTGAAGATGGGGATTCTGTTTAAGAAATGTGGATGAATTAGAGAAGAAACCAACTTTTGTCACTTAGAAAGCAATTCAAGGCAATAAAGAGTTTCCTGAAAGCTTGTAGTTAAACATACCAGTAGGATCTTCATCAAAGGTGACTGCGATGTCATTGGAACCAAGTTCTGGTGTATCCTTGTCAAACTGAGCCAGTGGCTGATCTGGTGATGGGGATTCGAATTCAGCGGTGGCTGTTGGCTCATCTGCGTCTGGTGTGATGTCATTTGCCAATGAAGATGCCACTTCTGCAGAAAGGATCTCTTGTTGATTCTGGGAGACGGCGGTCTCCGATTCCACTGAAGATGGGGATTCTGTTTAAGAATTGTGGATGAATTAGAGAAGAAACCAACTTTTGTCACTTAGAAAGCAATTCAAGGCAATAAAGAGTTTCCTGAAATCTTGTAGTTAAACATACCAGTAGGATCTTCATCAAAGGTGACTGCGATGTCATTGGAACCAAGTTCTGGTGTATCCTTGTCAAACTGAGCCAGTGGCTGATCTGGTGATGGGGATTCGAATTCAGCGGTGGCTGTTGGCTCATCTGCGTCTGGTGTGATGTCATTTGCCAATGAAGATGTCACTTCTGCAGAAAGGATCTCTTGTTGATGCTGGGAGACGGCGGTCACCGATTCCACTGAAGATGGGGATTCTGTTTAAGAAATGTGGATGAATTAGAGAAGAAACCAACTTTTGTCACTTAGAAAGCAATTCAAGGCAATAAAGAGTTTCCTGAAATCTTGTAGTTAAACATACCAGTAGGATCTTCATCAAAGGTGACTGCGATGTCATTGGAACCAATTTCTGGTGTTTCCTTGTCAAACTGAGCCAGTGGCTGAACTGATGATTGGAATTCGAATTCAGCGGTGGCTGTTGGCTCATCTGCGTCTGGTGTGATGTCATTTGCCAATGAAGATGTCACTTCTGCAGAAAGGATCTCTTGTTGATGCTGGGAGACGGCGGTCTCCGATTCCACTGAAGATGGGGATTCTGTTTAAAAAATGAGGATAGATTAGAGAAGAAACCAACTTTTGTCACTTAGAATACGTTTTAAACTTTTAATGCAAAGTATTTTTAAGCAGGCAAGGGTTGGTTTAATATAATACACAAACATACCAGTAGGAACTTCATCAAAGGTGACTGCGATGTCATTGGAACCAAGTTCTGGTGTATCCTTGTCAAACTGAGCCAGTGGCTGATCTGGTGATGGGGATTCGAATTCAGCGGTGGCTGCGCGGTCTTCTACGTATGGTTTGATATCAATGGCTACGGCCACTTCTACATGATGATCGTTTTGTTGATGTTCTGAGATAGCGGTCTCAATTTTCACTGACGATGGGGTGTCTTATGGAAAATGGAGATTGTTGATAAGAAAGTATAAATTTTTTACTGATCAATGGTTTTATTTGTTTCATACATATCTAAGATGTAATTGTTAGACTGTTCGAGCGAAGCACTCTTTTATGGAAAATTGCTTCTTTTATACATTTCAAAAGATCTTCAAAAGAATCAAGTTTTTATTCTATTCAAGTCTTCTAATCACTCACCAGCTGAGAATTGCATTTTGACAAATTCGGGGGCTTCAATGCTTGCTGCATTGCAAAGCTGGTTACTTCGGGTCATTTGTCCACTCGATGAAAGCATTCCCAAGCCAGAATCAAGTGGCTTATCAGGAATTGAACCGCTCCCTTTACTGTTTTTTTGAGCCTCTGAGTGACTTTCAATTTGAACCTCTAAAAATTTATTATATAGATAAATATTACATTTTTGATGATAAAAGTAGACAAATAATATGAATAGTCGTAAAAAATGTTTCTTAAAATTTTAACTCGGCAAACCTGTAGATTTTTGTCGAACTTTTCGGTCTGAGGCCAGCCTGAATTTCTTGACCATGGTATAGATTCTAGAAATCAAAGATAGCTCCAATATCAATGGCTCCAAAGTAAAACTGATTTCAGGGAATAGGCTTCTAGTCAGCTTGTCTTATATAATAGTAACCATTTTTAAGGAGCATGAGGGACAGAAACAAGTCATGTATAACTTCAAGTGAATCTTAAGTGTTTAAATTTAGGCATCTAATACAAGCAACCATTTTTAAAGATCAACAGTGAAATGTGTGCTCCTAGCGTGAATTTTGGATCAAGGCTTCAGTTAGTTACCTATGATGTCCGAATTGGGTGGCAATCTGCTCCACAACACTGCTGTTACCTTAATTTAGGCATCTAATACAAGCAACCATTTTTAAAGATCAACAGTGAAATGTTTGTTCCTAGAGTGAATTTTGGATCAAAGCTACAGTTACTTACCTATGATGTCCGAATTGGGTGGCAATCTGCTCCACAACACTGCTGTTACCTTTACGGTATATGTTGGCTTTATTTTTCAGAAGAATCTCGACACATTGCTCTTGTCCTTTCACACAAGCCATCATCAATGGCGTTCTGTTTGTAAGATAATATAATTGTTGAGTACCAGTTCATTAAACAACACTCATAAGGTGAAGTAAATTTGCCAAAGTACTAATTGAACTTGACAGGCTATGTTTGATGATCTTTTGCACATTAATTCTTCAATTGATAATAAAATGTACATCCAATCCTGTTACGCTTAAATGATTCTATTGGGTATCGACAAGATTGAAAATCACAAGATTGGAAAAGCGATTATTTAATGAATATTCATGAGTTTGAATTATTTAGTTCTTTCATAGAATAACATATTTCATAAATGTAAAAAATACTATGATATACGTGAGCCAACAAAAAAGAGCATTCCCTAGATTAAACAACTAGCTAAAAACGTAAGGTAGCACATGCTATGATGAAACTAAAGGGAAAGGTAATAAGTTTTTACATATAATATATAGATTTTATATATAACAAAGAGTTTTTATACATAATATACAGTTTTTTTATATAATATATAGTTTATATATTGCGCATCAATTCAGTAAACAGCTAAACTTTCGCTCAGATTTTTGACTCTGAAACCAAGCCGATAAATTGAAACAAATGATTGATTGTTGGTTAATTGACAGTGTATGTCGGTTAAGTTTTATTCCTTTGAAATTAAAAATCTTTTGGGTCTTCATTGTCATTTGCCTTTGTTTTATTTGAAATATCATTTAGTGTCAAAACACAAGGGCTTTCGGTGTCAAATCATTATTTCTCTTCATTTGATACTAAGCTGCATGAATTTTTTTATGTGATATACGTAGCAATGCTTTAGAGTTTTTTATCGTTCTGTAGGTTGTTGTAGACACTCATGTTCTTGAAAGAGTAAGAGCGCTAGAATTAAATGAATTAAGACAATTAAATGAACGATTAATCGTTATTAACTATTTGAACAAGAGACACTCACTTTCCAATTTTGTCTCTGATCTCTGTTTTGGCACCTTTTTCCACAAGCAGTAACACCACCATGGGTATATCAGATCGAATTGCCTGGTGCAATGGGGTGGTCAATTGCTAGGAGAAAAGAGTTCAGCAGTTGTAGAATGTCGGAAAAATGACAAAGTTCGAGCATTTGAAATCAAAAGGTATTTATCAGAACTTAAATGAAAGTCAGTACATCAATATTTACCAAGAAACATATCGTCGTTGGCTAGTAATTCATTGTCGATTTTTTAATGTTGCAATAAGTTTCCTTCTTTCTGTTGAAAATTTATGAATTTTATGGCTTGTAATATGCTAGTAAAACTTTGATAAGAAGACATAGCTTGCCAAAGAACATACCATATCAGATGCATCAACATTGACATTCACTTGCTTCACCAGGAACTCAACAATCGTCACATTCTTCTTAAATATGGCGAGATGCAGGGGTGTCGTTCCATTGTTATCAGCTTTGTTGAAATCAAACTTGATTCCATAAAATATCTTGACAATTTCCAGATGTCCGTTTCCGATTGCCTGTTAAAATGTAAAGGCATTCTATCACGTAAGATGTTTGTTTAATGTTGCTCTTACCTTCCAATGGAAGCAACACTGATTGAGAATACTGCTCTTCTTTGAAGACAAGAAACAAACTAACTCACCATAAAGACAGGACTCTGGCCTACATTGTCAGCGATGATTTTTCCATTTCTGTCCAAGATGAGCTGCACTACTTGGACACTGCCTGCGAGGCAGCCATAGTGTAATGCAGTTCTGGAATATCAAACAACATAAGTAGCCATTTGAGACAGGTAATAACTGAAAAGGTAGTTCTAATGAGTTTGATGCAAGTAAAATGTGAGTGCAAAATATCGTATCAAATTTTGTATCAAATTCAGTTATCTTTACCAGTTACAATAGGACATTAAAGAAGCAAGCAGATTTATTAAACTAGAGCTCAGTTAACTGCTATATCATATTGCTGTTAAAGATAAAAAATGTTGAGATTATTAGAATAAAAACTTTCATTTTCACGTTTAAGGATATCTAAGCTGCATAATTATCACTTCCATTCGAGCTAATGGTTGCAATCGGTGACTAAATACAATTGAAGTAATAAACCAGATACATATTTCTCTATTCTTAATAGCCCGCAGGACACAGTTACTTATTAAGACCAAATATCAACATAAACTTAATAAAAGATCATATTTGTCACAAATCTTCCGAAGCATATCAATTACAAAAAGATGTACTTAAAATTATATCTTCTTCACTTTTCTTCTCTTTATAATTCATACTTCGACAATTTTTCTTTCGATAATCAATATTTGCAACGACAAAAACTCACCGTCCTACATTGTCTTTCTTATCGATACCATTTTGCCTTTTGTTTAAAAGACGGATCAATTTATCGATCTTGTTCTTATAAGCTGCGCGATGTAAGGTTGGCAGGCTCCACACATTCAATCCATCTGGATTTGTGCTCGCAGTGGAGCGATGCAAATACTTCGAAAACATGTCTGTCACTTCTCGTTAGCTTCCATAATTGAAAGCGAGTAAAGAGTTAAGAATTGATAGGTTCAACTGAAGTCTTTTGACGTCATATTAATGAGAATTTTATCGATTATCGAATTGGAATAGGAAGCGAGGAGTCTGGGTCCCAGCGTGTTTTCTTGCAAGAACATTTTAATTCGTGAATATTATAGCAAAGTATACGCAGATGTTCACCAGGAAAAGAACAAGTTTATGTTTGAAGAATCTTAAAAACAGGTTTTTGCTTAATTTTAGCGAACTTCCAGCATTGTTAATGATAAATAACTAGTCAAAATTGTACACGAAAGAAGCAAAATTTTCAGTGACATCTTTCGATTGTTTGACGTCAGATTTGCCGCATTGATGCGGAGCAGCAAAGGAAAGATTGCTAGGAAGTTGTGATTATTTTCTCTGCGAAGAAGCTTAATTGGTGGAAGTCTAATGTGGAAAATTCAAAATCTCATTATAATCATCATGAAACGAAACGGTTTCAATAAGATTCCTCTTCAAATTTAGTTGTTTTAGTTTTACATTGCTACATTCTAAAAAAGTCAAGACTCAAGAAATTCCTTGAAACTGAGAAAAAGACTCTTCTTAGCTCCAAAATATTTATGTGGTCCCCAATTACTATAAAAATTCCTCAAGATTTTACAAATAATGAATATATACAAGGTTACAAGTATATAGAATAACCAAAAGGTATTACTTTGAATTTTGTCCATGTTGACAACTTTTGTTAGACACCGGGATATGGGGGTTACAGAAAACACCAAATTAATACTTAAAAAAAATTTTGAACGCCTCTTAATAGAACAAATTTTGAATTATTAAAGTAGAAAAAGTTTATACGAACATTAACAGTAACTTTCAAGTAAAGAGACGGTACATGGGTTTTTTACAGTTTTTGATTCAATATGTATAGGTCTTTAGTTTCAGCAACTATTTTAGATGTTTTCAAACACAGTCATTTGTTCAAACACTTGTTAAAATGTATTACTTCGGGGAAAGTAGTGCCACTTATTCCGGGCTTAATTCTATGGCACTGTTCTGAATTGTTGAGTATTTAAATATTATGGCATATTTGAGCTGAAATCCCACAAGCTTCCTTCCTGAGGTCACTTTTCTTTCTAGCAACAAACAACATAAGGCTAACAAATTTGATCTTACTGTATGTAACATTTACTGTATGCAAAGACTTCGCTGCTTTTGCGACCTTACTAACCGATAAACAATAGCCTCTCACTTTAAATGACGGGAGAGAGGAACTTGACTAATCCATTAGATCAAATATGATTTTGATAAACAAATGTTGTGATTTGATATGGTTCGAAACTTAAAAGATGCTCCCCAACGAGGAAATAGCATCTCCTCTTAACCTTAAAGCAAAAAGGTTAAAGAAACAAGGTTGAATGTCTGAAATAAGGGGGTGATTATGGGATTTTGCTATAAGTGGTGTTCTGTTAGACTAATATAGTTCAAAGCAACGATTCACACTTCATATCTGATTTTACATTCGTCCGTCTTACAGAGAATAGAACAAGCCAGCAAAATTCTAATGAACTAGGTGATTATTTTTGCAACAATTTTTCTCAAAGCTAATGGGTGAGATAAAAGCCAGTGATCTTTTCTAAACGAACCTGGTGTATAGTTTAAAAATTGCAAAACTTGATAATGTGACAATATCACAAAGCTTAGCTTTGATTCTTTTTCTAAATGTTTATTTTAGTATACTAGCTACGCTTTTTAACGATAAACAAAAATCTAAATTCTATTCACATTATTCACATCAAATATAAATACTACGAATCTTGGCTAATTATCTTCTGATTCACGCTTTTCAACTTGATTCAGAAGACAAGTATGGATCAACTGCTTCCATCTTTGTATTTTCCTTGTCCGTGCAACTAAGACGAGCTTTCGCGTTATTCCCATCAAATGATCAAACATCCTTCTACTTTGTCGCTGCTACCGAAATTCATCTCGCCAATACTTATAGCCGTAATTTTCTTTTCTACCAGACTTTTGTTCCTCCGCACACTCGGCCATATCATCTGTTCGTTGGATTATATATGGGGCTGTAAAAAATATCATATTAAATCGGTAAGGTAAGATGATAAAAACTGATTAAAATGTCACTTGAAGAATGGAAGAAAACCGATCTGCAATTTTTTACTAACAAACTGAAAGTCTGAGGAGTCATCTTTGAAATATCACAGTAAAAAGGCATTTAACAAAGATTTGGCTCTTAATTCGACGAAAAGTCTAAAAAATTTGCTGACAAAGCACTCCTACATGGCAAAAAACACCTCGTTTCACAATAAATGTTCTTTCCAAGGTGGTGTCACAACCCCCTCGCCCCATTGTAGCGATGGCTGTTCTTTCATATGCCCTTAGTGCCTTCACTAAATTTAGTTTCACGCAACCACGAAACTGAATTCATACTTTGTTTATCATTCTGTAGTGTAGGAGCTTGGAGATTTTGTCAAACAATGTCACTGTACAAAAATTATTTCTGAGAACCCCCTCCCCCCTCTTTCCATGGCCCCTTGTCAAAGAGTTGGGTAAATTTACCAATATAAAATATCTGCAGTCAGTCAAAAACTAGAGAAATTTGTCGGACTAGATCTAATAAATGTACTTGCCACCGATTGCTGAAAAAATCATAAAACAATAGGGACTAGTTGAACTTAGAGTTTTGTCAGCTTTCAACTGTAAAAAATCGTCAGAATATATGACAGCCGAACTGAGAGATCATTTAAGTCACCACCCGATGTTTTCTAATCTCCGGACGAGAAAACAATGTTACAGGAAAAACTTATTTTCAGAACCCAGCAAAAAGGTTTTTCTGGTCTAATATTTTCAGCTTGAAATGTGAGAAGAGCTATTTGGATTGTGAAAAGAGTCATTCGGAAATTTGGATGATCGAGAATAAGATTTTGGTCAGGAAAAATGGCACACAAGACATGAGAAATATTAAAAAAAATTCCCTTTAGCCTTCTGTTATACTCGGGGCATAACGAATGATCTTTTTACAAAAATGCTGCTCAGAGAAGAACTGATACACACATTCCTTGATCTTACAAATAGATTCGCTTATAGCGATAAGATAAGCCCATGTGTATGCTTTCGTAACTTCCATGATTCATTTTAGGATTATAAAGGGATGATTAATGTATTTTGGATGATTAATGTAATGATGCTTTAAGAGATGATTATTGTTAGATTGAAGCTAAAAGCTCGAATCTAATTGAGGATGAGCTTAATTTGGTGTTACTTTACACCGAAAACTGTGTTCGGATAAACGAGGATGTGCTGTATAACTTGCCACTTTTAGGATTACCGTGAGTTCCCCCTTTCTATTAAGCCCCCACTTCCCAAGCCAAAATTCAAAATAAGCCCCCTTTCTCTATTAAGCCCCCTCTTAAGCCCCTAATGTCAAACAAAGGAAACAGGCGCACTGAGTGGGTCTCTTGACGGGTGTGATGAGCAATAAATACGACCAATGTGAAGATTTCCTTGGGCGCCTTAGAAGTCAAGAGGATACTGATGTTGATTCTTTCAAAGCAATCCCAGAGCATTGTGGCATTTTGTAATATGTTGTATTTTTTAATAATAGATAAGCCCCCCTCTCTAATAAGCCCCCTCTAGAATTTACATAAAATAAGCCCCCCCCCCCCGGGCTTAATAGAGCTTTTACGGTAGGTTCTTGGACACTACAACCGTTTTGAAAAATTTACTTTTTGAAACGAAAAGACTTGATATTAGGCCAGTGCCATGCCCTTGATTACGCAAAGGACTCCACGATCAGTGATAGTTTCGTATGCTTTAAACAACAGCCATTGCTTTTATGCAGAAGTGCTATTAGCAGAATCTTGCACTAATATTAACTGAGACAAGGCTCGTGGATTAAAGAGCAGAAATTTTTGTAACCTGAAAGAATCTTCGTCTACGTCGAACAGGCATGTGCGTGTCAAAAGAGAATCCTTTCAACGATCATATCATTATCATTTGCAAGAAAATCTGTTTTTTTATGTTTACAACATAAAAAAGTAATTTACAATCTGTATTTACTTTTGTTATTAGATCTATTGCTGCACTTTTTCTTGTTTTTCATGCACGCTAAAATGTCTTTCCCGCTTCTCTCTCCGGTGGCAAGAGCTCCATGGACATACCCATAGTCCTTTGTTGTATATTCACCAGCAAACCAGATACGACCAACAGGTTCTTGCAAACGTTTGTAGTCCTTTTCAGCAAACCCAACAACAGGGTTGGAGTATGCCCCCATCGTCATTGGATCTCTGCTCCATTTATTTCGTAGCATGGCTGTAATATACAGGATCAACATTGAATGTTTGGGTAATATGGTGTTCGGAAAAAGGCGTAGGAGACAAACTGCCTGAGGAGGGGGGGGGGAGAAGATGCTGCAACACCTCCAATCAGACAAAATTTATCAAATTCCAAGTCAGTTCGGGAAATTTTATCACAATGAAGCAACAATAATTGGGGAAGACCCAAACTTAGCCCCTGACCCCCTTAAAGTTAAGCCTCCGCTACCCTTGAAGAGCTTTGAAAAGTGTTAAGTACTACTTTCCGTCAATAATAAGTAAAATTGAAGGAAATCAGAACCTTAGTATATTGAGACTGTAATACTTTCGATACATATATCTATATGGAAAAGTACTTGGCAGTCAGTTGCCCCCCTTGAGAAACTTCAACGAGAACGCAAATATTTGACTTTTGTGCATTTGACCATCCTTTACTCCTCTTCGTCAATATCTGTATTGACCAAAGCAAGGTCAGAGAGGTTTCCCCTACTAACAAGAGAGGCAACTAAGACGCCAGAAAAATCTTTAATTTTCATTTATACTGACGTAGAAGACAAAATAAAATTTAGCTACAGTGATAGTGCAAAAAATGTGAAAGACAAGATTTTATAGTTTGTTAAATGAGATTGGGTAAGTGTGACAAAAATCTCTCACCAGTGGGCCAAGGTATGTTGCGACCATAGACCCTCTGCAAGGATCGCATGGCTTTCTCTTTCACTGCTTCATCGGTCATCTGTTCAGAATTCAAGCACATATCCTCGGTGAGTGTCAGCATCAGTATATGATCTCCATGAAAAAGTGTCGGATGGTCAAAGTTTTGCCAATGAACGTGGTCTCCACGAAACCTTTGGGACAGTAAGATGTAATTGGAGTCATCCCAAAAGCGTCTTGGGAACTTCATGAACACCTTACAGTAGTAACACATTGGAACAAGGTGGATGACGTCCGTTTTCCAACTTGGCAGAGGAGGAGAAAATTCGATAAGGTTGTTAATGAGAACCCCACTGCTGACGGTAAGAAGGATTTGTTCTGCCTTGTATACATCTCCCTTTGTTGTCGTCACTTTGACAAATGAATCTGTGTGCTTTATCTCGGAGACCACTGTATTGAAACGTATCTAGAAATTAATGAGAAAATGATTACTAGTTGATGTTGCAGTGTGGTTTACAAAATCTTTTTTGTCAAACAAATCGAAAAAAGAGGCAATGAGGCCATTTAAAAGAAAATATCTGCAAAACAACTGCCAACCCATTCGTCCACTCAACCCTGCTTGCATCTCTTAACACTTAAACGCTTTAATCCTAGTCCAATAAACTTCTACTTAATTCTGCAGCGACAGAATTCACGATAATGCGTCGCTCACAGTTCGCGCTGCCACTTACTTTGTTTTTAAATGGTTTTGCCAAATGTTCGAGCACATGCGCATAGCCTCGTTTGTCTGTTACCACAACGTCTTTTCCTTCACCAGTCACTGAGAATACTTCTGAGTTAAGAGATTTCGGCGACACACCATTTTGGAAATCGAAATGATAGTATTCCAATGTTTCCATGACATAGGAAAAAGGATTCCATCCAACCATTCCAAGTGCGGATCTTATTGGAATGCTAGATAAACCGGATTTTCTTCGCTTTTTCATTTTCAGATCAGCTTGCTCTACCTTCATCTTCAGCTCTTTGTAAATGCTATTTGCTCCAGTTAGCTCTTCTCCAGAATGACCGTCCCTGCAAGAATAATTCGAATAATACAACAAAACCAAGATACCATGCTTATATGAAACAAACATCCCTTTATTATAGCTGTCATTAAAGGCCTCAATATAAAGAAAAGGAGTACCGCATTTCGTCCTATTGGCTGTCTCCTGCTATTAGGCATTCACCCTATTTGTGCTAATTAGACGCCTCCTTGATTGGCCTATTTCCCTAGCAACTCTTGATGGATCTTCCACTTACGCTATTTCTCTAGCAATTTTTTCAACGTTCCAATCCGAAAAAGTACAGATGCCCAAAAGCCACAATCTTTATTTTCAGAAATTAACAATGAGGGGGATGGCTATAGAAATAGTGATGATTTTCTGCATGAGAAGAATATGAATGAATGGATCGATGACTTATAGAAGTAGCAAATACTAACTGCAGTGACGAAGCAGATCTCTAAAATGCAATGTCAGGAAGGGAGGTTCATAACAAATATAATATTTCCATTTCAAAACTCGTAAACGGCCCTTTTCGAAAGTCAGAGATGGCGTTTCTGCGTGGTGATAAAGCTCTTCTTGGCGCCCTGCGAAATCTTCAATTGCCCTGCGAAATCGGCTATTTTTAAGATTGGGGGGTGTCACATCCCCCACACCCCCCCTGGTATTTTTGCCCCTGCGTTGACGATACCACCCAGGTGACACTTGAATTTCAAATTTAGGCTGATTCGATCGATTCAAATGCCATGGATGCTCTCTAGCCAAAGTTACATTTACAAGGCTTGAATGAAACATTTGTTTCGAACTTTATGATAGCAGTAAAAAGTTTTCAAGCATTTTGAAAAGCAGTTTTCAGCAGCTAAAAAGCCAGCAGTTTGAAAAAGGCTAAGATATGTAAAGAAGTCTTAAATCAGAGCTAAGTGGAAGATTTTCAGAAGACAGGGATGATGGCAGAAAGTGAGAAAATAGCCAAAGTGAAAGTGACTGACTTTTAATTATCTTTTAAATAAATTGTTTCATAGGCCACTTTCATTGTCAGAAATAATTCAATAGCCAAACAATTTTCTTTTAAAGGTTTTGGTGACCCTATTGAATCTCTTCGCCTCCTAGTTTGTGTGCAGACTTAGAGGCTATTCGACTCCAGGCTGTTCAATACTTAATGAAAGCTCCCTAAATTTTCTCAAAAATGAAAGTGACGAGGATGACATTCGTCAGCTGCCGGGATTAAATTGCACCTGATGTTGATTTGTGTGTCTTAGCTGAACAATATGAAAGGTGCCCAGCAAAGCGACATAGATACAGGGCCTCCGACGAAGGGGGCCCGGGGGGCCATGACTCCCCACTTTTTGCAAAACAATAGAGCTTTTTTAAAATTATTTTGTTACGATTGTTAAAACATCCTTTGCCCTCCCACTTTCCAACCTCTGCCGGAACCCATGAGATCAAGAACTTAAGTGTATTTCAGCCACTCTGCAAATATCTTCAGGATTATAACTTCTTTACAAAAGTTTTGCAAGAGTTTTGTGAGGAAGCCCCATGGTGGGGAAGCCCCATTCTGCAGACTGCGAAGAGATTATGTCAGCATACAGCCTTATAAAAACCATTTCCAGGAAAAGCCTTAAGGGGAAAACAATTAATAAGATATTGTACTTAAATTCAAATATGCCTTTTTCTCTGACTATGATCCCAAACCAGTTGTATATTGTTTCAGAACTGAAAGGAACCAACGAAAAGGGATTGTCCAGAGGCCGACAGACAGTCACCTGTTAGCATTTTTTGAAAACAAAGATTCTGAATAAGAGAATGACGAAAAAAAGATACTGGTGAAGTGTAACCTCTAGTTGTATTTTATAGCTCATTACGGTTTTGTTTCTGGTCTTTAGCAATATGTCGTTTTTTTGTAAGTTGGTTTACATGATTTGAATGGTACCATGTACAAATATGTTTTACTGCTGCACAAATTGGTTTTTTGCACGTAAAAATATAAGCTGCGATGCCCCCCCCCCCTACCAATAAGAATTTTTTCGTTATTAAAGCCGATCTGCCTTTTTATCTTAAACAGTGGCGGAAATTCAGACTTTCATTTAGGTGGGGGGGAGGGGGGGTCAGACCCACGATTTCTCGACAAGATAACAGTTTGGATGTGTTTTCGGCACGTTAAAAGTTTTTCAATTTTTCGACGAAAACGCTGAATGGGGTGGGGGGGGGGCTAAGCCCGAAATAAGTTCCACCACTGATCCTAAACATGGTAGACTCGGACATAGACAACTTTAATAGTTTACCTGACAATGAATTTTGAGTAGTTATCATGATGGACGTCCATCTTTAACTTCTGTGACAGTGTCCATATTGGGTTATTGGGTCCAATCTCGTGTATCCAGCCTGCGCCAAGAGGGACCATGTTTCCTTCAAAAGGGACATGGTGGATCCTTCCTCCAATGTAATCCTTACCCTCGAGAATAAGAAAATCATTTATGCCATTTTTGTGGATTGTTTCGGCAGCCTTTATACCTGAAGCACCTGCTCCTACGATCAGGACCTTGACGTGTTTGGCATCTTTGCTAGCAACAACTGCTGTGAAGTAGCTTAATATGACGAGTAAAGTGCAGTGCAGTAACCTTGCCATGACTTTTGCCAGCAACCCTTTGCAGTCAACTGAATGTTGAGACCAAGCCAAAGGGTTTATATACTCTTTCTAGCTGTCAAACAGACAATAATTAAAAGTCCATAGATCTGTTGTGACGGGGGCTCGGCATGTTCGTACCTGTTCCCACACCGTATTGAATAGCCTTTCATCTGAAAGATAATGCCATGAATTGAACGCTTGACTTTTGGTGGATCAATTTCTTCTTCAATTCTCTTGCGGCGTTTATTTATAGGAGCTGGCCCGTCGCATTATTCATGGCTGCTTTCATTTATTGTAATTACAGTTATGCCTGTAACTATACCTTTTGTTAAGGATCCTGTATCTTACAGTATCAATATAGTATCTTCTTCTGTAGTAAACGAATAAAATTGGATTGAATTGAACGACCAATGGTACGCCCGAAACAAACGATTTCAATTTGTGAAGATGTGTAGTGAGATATTTTAAGCAAAGTTGAGAAAATGGGAAACTTTTATCGATAATTCTTTATCTTGCGTTCACTCTTTTTATAGCTGATTAGTGTCACTGAAGTGTCATTTCTTGAAAAGGCTCTAGCGACCGAGGGGTAAAAATCCTATTGTTTTATCGGTAAACCCTAGAAATCCTTTTGTTTTGTGGAAATCCCTTTCGCGGTTTACTCACTAGGGACTTGGCTTCTTCGCATTATACACAGGGAAATAGATGCGAAAAACTAACAAATTGCCTAATCTCAATTTTTTCTTCGGATTTCTACATTTCAATGGCTAAAGATCGATTTTCCGAGATGGGCCATCGCGAATTATTTTTAGATTGCACGTGATTCGCGAGGTCATAAATAAAAAATAATTCAACAAGAGCGCTGATATCTCTTGTAATAAGTCTTATAACAATAATAATTACATATTCGGATAGCTCTAAGAAGGAGCTTTCATTTGTTGCCTGCGTTGGCAGCAAGACTAGATAGCGTAATTTTCAAAAATATAAAAAAAATCTTATCTACAGTATATCATTTTTACAAATTTATGATATGACGTCATCAAAGAAACGTCAATCAATGAAGTATGCAAAGAAATTTTTTGTTTACCTACTCAATGGACGTGTTTTTCTATCAGTGATAGAATATCTTAAGAAAGGACAATTAACAGCCCAAGAATGAGAATTTTGCGAAACAGTGGTGGTAAAAGGCCTATTTTGGTTTGATGACGTCATCAGTCAATTTGCTGATATCAGCAAAATATAATTTGTTATGCATCAAATGAAAGCTCCTTCTTAGAGCTATTCGAATGTGTAATTATTATTGTTATAAGAGTTCTATTACAAGAGATATCAGCGCTCTTGTTGAATTATTTTTTATTTATGACGTCACGAATCACGTGCAATCTAAAAATAATTCGCGATGGCCCATCTCGGAAAATCGATCTTTAGCCATTGAAATGTAGAAATCCGAAGAAAAAATTTAGATTAGGCAATTTGTTAGTTTTTCGCATCTATTTCCCTGTCTATTAGATTATGCTGGGGAAATGAGCTTGAGCACGCGGCGAAGCCAGTGAAATGCTGCATCGTTTCAGCATGCATAAACTCATTTTTTTTATAAGAAACAAAGGTTGATGTTGAGTACTCCAGTTTCTTAATGTTCTGGAAATTTCAATACTCACTGTTTCTTAAGAGTTTCTTAATTATGATATCATGAATGATGTTATGAAATGTTCGTGACCTTTTTTCACGTCAAGAGATTCGCTTCCGTTCTGACGTGGAAAGTATATTTTTATCCTTTGTGTCTTAATTTCTAGGCCTTCAGGGCAATCATGTTCTTGGATTTTACAAAATTTCGCTGTTCTCAGTTTTATCACGATTTAATAGTTTCTTGATTTTTTTGCTTCGAGTACTGAAGTTTCTTAATTTTTTCTGACTGTCCAGTACTCGTTTCTTATAGCCAGTTTCTTATAAAAAAAAGATGAGTGTATTGCAAATGAACTCAGTATTCACAGAAGTACTTTGTAGAGAGCAATAATTCTATTCAGCACGATGCAATACTTTTTTCCAGGTATTGCAAATAGCTCATGAAGAATCCAGATAGGTATTGTGTTTTCCTGGATGTCATTTTTGTTGCAGAGTTTTCCCTGATCCTAGACGACCTGTGATCTGTTGATGCAGTCAAAAAACTCTTCGACGTTTTCCTGACCGGATTCTTCAATTTTGCAGTCAAACATCTATCCTGAGTGATTTGCTCAAATGCCAGTAATCAGTGGCGTACCCAAAAGGGGGAAAAGGGGGGTCTGGACCCCCCACTTTTCTAAAATATGGTCCTCGAGATTTGTCCAAAAACGATGTAAAACTCATTGGGGGGGGGGGGTAGTATACTGTATGCTTTTGTCAATAACGATTGTAAAATACCTTGCTATTTACCATAGCTGAAATGAATCAAATAATGGGGGAAAACTTTGCAAAAAGAGCGTTTCCCCGCATTTGCGAGTGTTTGAAAGGCGTGGTCCAAAAAAATTTCTGGGAGCTGCGCCCTAGACCCCCCTTTTCTTGAATGTCTATTTAAGATTTCTTTTTTAGAGCAATTCCAATTGATATAATGTGCTTTATCAGAAAATAGAGTTATAATTTGCTTAAATCTCGTAGAGGAAGTTCACTTTTGAGTCTGAATTGGTGTTTAAACTTTAAACCCATCTATTATTTCTCGACCTTTAGCAAGGTGATATCTCTATTCTTTTTTCCCGTCCTCTATTTCTTGAGAAACTATGATACGTCTGTCACATTTTGACTAAGATGAGGATCAAATTATACACATCCAGACATGACCTAAATTCTTGATCGAAGGCTGTCTGAAGCCTTACTTGGTTAGTCACTTTCTCAGAAAATATCACCCCCTTTTCTATACATTCACTAACACCCTTGAAATAGTGATTTTGTAGTAAATTCCAATATTGACACTGCTAAGTAACCGAATGATATCAATCAGTTAAATAGGAAAAATGCAGGAATCTATCAGGTAAACAGAAATTTAATATCATTATAGTTTCAAATAAAATGCATTTTATAACAGATTTGTCTAGGTTCTTGTGCATGACAAAAACAATGCTAAACCAGAACAATGTTTCATAATTAAAACTATTACTCTATAACCAAAAATTCTAAAAGATGAATTACGCATCATCTTGAAATTTCCATACCACAATAAGCCACATCAGAAGATACCACCTAGTGCTTTTTCCTCCGGTTTTCAAAATTAGGCCAATGATGTTGTTGTTGTGCTCTGCAGAGTTGTTTTTGTGTAATTAGGCCAAAGCTCATCCAATATCTTATTGAATAAGCCTACTTAGTCCTGCCTACAACCAGAACTATACGCCAGCCTTTGTACACGCACTTTGGAACTTATAGATCAATTGGTTGGTCAGTCAACACCCTACCTCATCTCAGCTTGTAAACAGAAACATCGGATGCCATTTTATCTTTTGGTGAACGCAGGGATACAATGGGTCAAACGTCATTGTAGAGGGATGCATCAGTGGAGCAAATGAAACCTGACGTAGAGGAGACCATATTGCTGCACATTTGTTTGCAATCATATTTGAAATTTTTCTTTTTGTAGACGAATCAGCAACAAAATTTGGTACCCGATTACTTGGAATTTCTGATTAGTTTTCCAAAACTGACCCATTTTTGAATTCTATGTCCTAAATAGGTTTCAAAATTATACACCTTTCTCAGAGAAATAGCCGACAAGCATGAAGTAAGAAAATCACTGAAATACAGGCGTCGGGTCTGTCCTTCATGCAGAAGTGTTTTATAAATATTATATCGTACACACTGTACATGACCAGACAAAATCCAACTTATGGATTTACGTACGTACGATCCAAATAAACGTACTGTGTTGTCTTGACAGCTAGAGGCAAACATTTATTCAGGGGGTTCCAGTTTGTTTTGCTTTAAACGTCGTATGATATTTGAATTGGAGAAATTGAATATCGTAAGGATTAGCAAATTTTGATACGTTTGTTAATCCTTACGATACGCTCGCCCTGTGTATGCGTTTCCAATGATTATATAACAAGGCTGATTGTTCAGCTTTCACTTCATGGCCACATGACACAGGGAGACGGTAGCATGATCCAAATAATTATTATATAACGCTAAATAATAAATATATTATATACATTGCTCAACATGATAAAATTACATATTTCGTATTTGTTTTGGTGTTTACTGTGTATATCAATAAACAAAAGATTTCTCGATTCTTTCCAAGAAACTTGCTCTATGTATAAAAACAATTATGCTTTAAATGGATTTCGGGATCTTAAGCTTTTTGACATTGCATAACATTTGGGGGATTCTCTCAAGTTTTTTAGAACGTCTAGTAAAGAATTCCATTGTTATGTAATGAAACACCAACCAAAGACAGTTATAAAACTAAATGATCGGGAAAATGATATTAGTTAATATTTGATAATGCATTTGAAAATGGTAATATAAACTTTTTTGTTAGAACAGTTTTGCAAAAAAATGAACCTAATAGTGCTCAGAATTTAGTACAAATTAAGAACAAGCTGCGACTGAGGCACTTTATAATGTAATTTTGAGCAAAGTTTGTTTACACGCGCACACGCGCATCTCAATAGACATCGATAAAGGTGAAGTTGAATTGATTTAAAACTACAATTTTAAGCACATATTATTTGTTAATTTTGTCAAATTAGCAAAATCTGCATTTACATGGCACGTGCAACGTGTTTAAATTGTTCTAACTTAAGCCCAATTAATTAAGCTAGCCTACGTCTCAATTTACCAGTTCTTTTCAGTGTCAATGCTTGACCTTCCAGACTAGGGGTTGGAGGGTCATCAATAGAAAAATTTACCGACGACATAGATGGAGAAGAATTTAGGTGCTATTTCACTTACTGATAAATAGTTTTATCGTCGACAAACTAAGGAATTTGTAGACAAACTGAAGATTTACCGACAATTTCATAATGTGTTTCTTCTCCCTACACCCCCCACTAGCTACGCCCCTGGTTCTTTTGAAAAAATGTAATGACTTGATGCGTTTTGTGATGTGTCGAGTCTTAAAATTGTTCCCCAAAGTCCTCACAGAAAATGGTTTGCTGGACTGTTGTAGAATCTGGATTTACACAGGTTTGTGTAAACAGGTGCGAACAACAAAATAAGGAAAAGGCAGCTGTATTACATTTTCTTTTCCCGTCCTTGAAATTTACTACAAATTATTTGCTGCTCTTAGGTCTGGGACAGGGCCAAATGAATGTATGAAAAATGATTAAATCTGGTTCTTCATGTCAGTGCTGTATTTGCAGTGATGTGATGACCTTGGCCATTGAACTTGGCTATCAATGACACTGGAATCGACTACGATGACACTAAAATCGACTACGATGACACTGAAATCGAATCTGATGACACTCGGAAAACGGCAAAGACACAGCTTACGTAACAATCCTCTTGAACTAAAGTGAAATGAGATCTCCTTATAATCCTGACACGTGATTGTTGGGGTTGAGAATGAGAAAGTGTAATAGACCGGTTCCATTTCTCTAAAATAGTTCTTAAAAAGAGATCAAGAGGCATTTTCGGGTAGAAGCTGGGATCCAGTTTATTTTGGGTATTTCGACCATGCTGATTACGAATTTGGCGGATCCCAAGTTCGCTAATTTAAAGGCTTAATTTGCATATTCAAAATGGCTGCCGGTCAAAAAACTTCAAGGTATAACCAAGGGACCCTCCGAACCGCAAAAAGTTCTGGCAAGTGGTAGAATATAGCAAATAAAGAAAAAGTAAAGAAATTCAAAAATCTTTGTTGCATGCAGCCGATCTCGGTCAGCAACAAATTTTAAGCTTTGTCACGCACAGACTGACGCTGTCTGACACAGAGCCCATGATATCCTTCAACGAACCATTAAAAAGATGCAGAGCGATTACCTTTCAAAGCCTATATGAAGTTCCAATAAATTCAAACTACAAGGAGAAGCAGACGATTTTCAAGGCCGATAGAAATATCCTCACGCGGCTGATCACTGCTTATGAAGGCAGCTGTGAAGTTGATCTTAAGAGTTTGCTTTCTCATGAATTGATGCCAGTTCCTCATCTCTCACTGAAATGAACTGTTCCCTTCGGACTGGAAGCAAGCCTGTCCTTATTGACAAGCTAACGGATAGCATCAATTGTCTAGAGAGTATCGATCTTCATGGAATAACAGCGTACTTAATCATCGATGGTCAGGCTCTAGTGGTGTTATTAGGCAAACCAAATGGTTGCTGTTCGTTTCGTGATTTAGCAGACACCTTTGTTTCAAATGGGTAAACGCTACCAGAGATTTAGCAGTGCTTCAAATGGGTAAACGCTACCAGAGAATCGATGTTGTTTTTGACCGCTATAGACAACTATCAATCAAAACTAGTACCAGACTAAGGCGGAAAAAAACTAGCCGGCCTGTTCGCCGAGTTAAAGAGAGCGGTTTGGTACCTCTTCCAAAGTTCTGGTCAAATTCAAGAAAACAAAGCAGATCTTGCACGATTCCTGTCAGAAGAGTTGCTTCGCCAAGCAACTGAAGATAAAGAAATTTTTACAGCTGGTGGATTTATCAATGAATTGCTTGCCCAGTCATCGAAATGCTACACTGATACCTTGTCTTTGATTGCAGACCATAAAGAAGCAGACACCAGAATTGCCCTTTGTGCTATCAATGTCACCTGCAATACAGTAGTAGTTGCTACTATAGAGATGCAGATGTGCTCATCATTCTGGTGTCCCACTGTGAACGAATGCGATGCAATGATCTTTGGATGATGTCTGGAACGTCAAAGAAGAGAAAATATATTCCAGTCAAAGAGATTCTTCACGCCTTGCATGAGGGATCTGTTCAAGCACTCATCCCCTTTCACACTCTTATTGGATGTGATACAACTTCGTACTTGTCTGGGAGTACAAAGGCATCTGCATGGAAAGTTTTTAAAGAGTCGCATGAACTCTTGCAAAACATGGGAGAAGGAGGTATTAACGAACAAGTTATGCGGAAAGCAGAAAATTTTTTTGCAACAGCTCTGGTGCAGGCCACAAATGAAGCCAGACACGTTCTATTTTTCAAAAAAACAAAACCCGAGGCATTGCCTCCAACAATTGATGTGGCATATCTTCACATAAGAAGAGCACACTTCTAAGCAATGATATGGAAACAAGCTGGATCACCGCATCAAGACTTACCGTCACCTACAGATTTCGCATGGGAGCTTTCTGAAGATCGATTAAAGCCGATTCTAATGACAGTGAAGCCATCCCTGCTGCTTCTCTGGAGATGATCTTTTGTGGATGTAACATACGATGCAGAAACTCATATAGCTTAGTTTGCTTTAAGATTTAGATCAGACACTCCTTCAAATCTTAATGTAGGGTCAAGCTTCACACTGCAGGCCTTGCGCATATCAACATGAGAAGAATCCTCAAAAATTAGCAATGAAGTTTCAAGTGAAACTACAACTGTTTTTTTCTTAACAACTCTCAAGAATTATTTGTCAGAAGATAGTGTTAATTTGCGCAAGGCCTGTAATGTAGCAAGTTGTGTGGCAAATGCAGCAAAGCTGAAAACAACGATTTCCACTGACCTATAATCGATTAGATTCAAGCTTGGACACACGTTAGAGACCTTCACAAAAATGCAGCATAGTAGAACTGGATGTACAAAAGGAACGTGTTCAGCCACTTGAATATTCAATGTTGACATTTCACCCGATTACTACTTGGGAGAAAATTTCATTTGAGAAAATGTCATACATAAACTTGTCGTTAGTTCGAAAAATGAAGAGCCGAAAGTTTGCCATTTCTCCTAAAATTAGATGGGCTAAATAAAACTGGAAGATTCTATTTTAAATGGTAGACACTAACCAGCTAGAAAACCAAATCAATGAGTTTAATTTTTGCCGGAGGATCATAGATCATCGAGAATGCCACCATACGACTGATTTCGATGAGACCTTTGAAATGTTGCATGACCTTTTCAATTTTTGATGGCGTGAACAATTTTTAAGTTAATGACGTCATCATATTTATGACGTCATGTAAATCACAGAAAATGTAATAGATCAACTTTACTAGCCCAAATTGGTTCTCTTTATCTTTAAAAGTAAATTCAAGACACTTTAGAGTATTTGCACCAGTAATTAGGGGTTTAAATGAAACAATGACAAATTGGTGTAAATAAATCATGAATAAGCGATATAGATAATAAGCTTAGATAGGAATCATATATCTGATTTTTACTTTTTGGTGCATTTTGATACATTCTAGAGACTATAAAAGGACTTAATAATTAAAACTGAGATATTACCAATAGTTGGCAAATTCTGCCATTTTCTTCAATTATGACATCATAATGACGTCATGGATGTTATGAGTTCCCTGTTAAAATTTAAAAAGTTCCCTGTTGTGTAGATTATGTTGCTGTACACCATTTTACCAA